ATTGCAAACCAAGTAGGTCAGTGATGGCTATTTGAAATAAAGATTTCTCATATAATTGAAAAATGTTAAAAAGTTGAACGTAGTAGTTAATTAGGTATTCAAGGGCAATATACATGAGTATTCAAGGGCAATATATAGATATTGCCCTGAAACTTCGCTATAAAGCACTTAAATACACAACGAGCTGGGAAATAAGCGAGATACAACACTGTGAATAACAAAGAAAACTGAATCAAGTATGAAATAAGTCTACAGAAACTGAACCTCTATTTAGAGATCGCCTCTTGTTAATCGGCCACCTGTTGTTCCTCCAGAGGCGACCGCTAAAGAGAGGTTCAAATGTAAAACATAGTCTCTAATAAACGTTGAGCCTTTGTAAATCGGTCACCCAGTAAGAGGGACATGTTATAACGTGGTTGTCATACCACAAATTCGGCAACTTTTCCTTTTTCAACCAGGTCCCCTGCAAGGTAAAAGGGAAAAGTTGCCGAATTTGTGGTATGACAACCACGTTATAACATGTCCCTCTTACTGGGACCGATTTACAAAGGCTCAACGTTTATTAGAGACTATGCTTTACATTTGAACCTCTCTTTAGCGGTCGATCGCCGGCCTCTGGAGGAACAACAGGTGGCCGATTAACAACAGCTTTCATTAGTGTTGACAATGTTTACAGTGAATGTAATAGACGTAAACAAATTTCGGGAAATTGAAATTTAGAGGTCCAGAAGGCCACTTTTAATACTTGACTGTTCTTAAAATTTCAGGACAGTCCGGAATAGCCTCATTACGTGGGCTTCCTGTGGAAGTCCACGTCTAAAAATGCAACTGGCGTTTTCGTCGTGGTGAATATTACGCTTCAAATTGGTGGCGCATCGATAGCGCATGCGTTGCAGTCTCAGTTTCCATGGAGATGTCAGCGATTTTTGGTAGCGCCTGCCTTGCAGATGGACTGCAGTCTCAGAATGAAAACAAAATGGCTGACAGACGGCGGCAAAAAGTTGTCTCGTTTCAAATGGTTCTAAAATGTAGCTAAAATGCTCTAAAGAGCTGAAAATCTTACAAAATCAACTGATTACCATCCAAACGACGTGGATTGAGGTATATAATTCAAGATTAGCGGATGATTCGTGCAGAAATGACTGGGCATTTTCTACTGCCGACTCGAAGAGCAGTACTTCTTCGTCACACAAGTGTTCGATGTCAAAAACAAAATCTTCAAAAATAAGAAATCACATGGATATTTAAGGTTCATACTTTGACAGAAAACAATTATTCGATGGAATAAAGCATATCAAACCTCATCTGAAAAATATTGATGCCATTTTCTAAACTAACGATGTGTTTGAAGTTCGGAAAACTGCACGTGTGAGCTTTACTGAACTCTGTATACAAAATCTATATTGTGTATGAAGCATTTTAATATTCTCTATTGTTTGTTTTGATGATTGTTTAACTTGAAAAACTTAGACAAATCCAAAAATATGAACTGTCATTAGAAGGCCAAGGTACACCTTTATGATGGCACAGAACACCAGATTTACAAATTAATGAAAAACACCAATTAAAAAAGAACAGAAACACAAGATACAGATACATGATTCAATTGATCAAAATATTATTCAAAGTTATACTGCCAAGACTGTACCGTTTCTATTGTTTATGTGACCTATATGACCTATCAGATATTTTGAATAATATAGACGCTCTTGAGCGTAAAGTCGAGCTAGTTATTTTGGAAAACTGAGAAAAAAGACATGGTATCCAAAGAATTTAATTAGAGATCAGTTCGGTAAAATATTATGATGCAATAAATTGATAACATATTAACTTAATTCTGTCTTGACTTATTACAAACAAAGACTATCTTGTGAAAATGAAACACCATTGTCACAGGAAGCCCACGTAAGCGATCCATGATCGTCTAGTTCCTATCTTAACTCTGAAATTTAAAAAAATGCCGCTTCAATTTAGAGGTTCGGCGGAAATGTAAATATAAAATACCCGCAATTCCTTTCGGTCGTGCATTATCGATTCTTTTTGACAACCAATAAAAATAGCGGAACATTCTTATAAAATCTACAGAGCGTAAATTGTTGATTTTGAAACACACCCAGATTTATATTAGAATCTGATGTTTCGACGGGGTCCAAGTCACTTCTTCAAGGCGCGCAACATCAAATCATCAATCATAAAGAACCGTTCCTAAAAAACAAGGTAAAGTAGGACAATTTCAATTGAAATTCGATTTTAAAACCGTTATGTTTATGTGCAATACAAACTTCGTTCGCGATATGTTTTTCCTGTTGACGCTTTTGAGTCTCCACTGCACAGAAGAACGATCTCGGTTTACAACTGTCACTGAAATTTAATCTGTTGTTGGACCACTTAAGCGGCTGAAGCGTCAAAGTGAAGAAAACGTCTTTAAGCCAATTAAAACGTTAACGATACAATAAAAATTGTCAAATCAAGATGATTTTCAGTCGAGAAAAGCGATGGAATCACTGAAGAAGAACAATAAGTCAAGTAAACAACGTTAAGAATATTCGTAGAACTGAAATAGTACATGTAACAATTTATGACAAAGTAATTATTATTGTTTAGTGCAATAGCCTTGTGATAGAATTGAATTTTTCTCGAGATAAAGCCAATATTAATGAATGTACAGCTGAAATTATGAAAACCATGCCAGTCATTTTGTAATCACGGCGGGCTACTATTTTATTCGCTTGACTTTTAATCAACCGAGTTAATAAAGTATTCCTTGGATAAACAAAATATTTAGAAAGTATTGTATTGTAGTGTATAAGTGAAGTCCCAGCTGGGACACCTATTCTCGACTTTCACGTGACGTCATCAGTCGAAACAAAATTCTAAAATCACARACACACAACATTGTGGTAATGAAATATCTTGAAGAGCATGATAGAAGTTCGCTCTGAATGTTTAAACTTTTTTTGCTGTTTATTCGTTGAGTTATTAGCGTTCAAAGATATGTTACGTAATACTGCCACGCGACTTGATACACGCCAAAAATACTCGAAAAGTCTATGAATCTTAAAACAATTATAGTCTCAGCATCAATTTAAATGTTTACAATGATATAGTTTGTAAAGTTAAAGCAAAATCATTAGTTTTGAGCTCAATTCGATGCTCGTAGTTACGGTCCGCCATCTTTATGCTCCTGACGGGGGCACAATCATGGCGGCCCCATACATTTCTTTGTAAAGTAAGACCGTATTAAAACGCTTATATTTTCGCTAGGAAATCACAGTTTTGATTAAAACTTTGCATAACTGTTGGGAGTTATATACTTGTTTGATCCTTGGACTTAAAAAATTAATTTGAATCTTAAAACAAAGCTTTTTGTAGGTATTTCTTGACAAGTCCAAAACGCATTGAGCCGTGCTAATCCCATACATTCTTACCAATTTTCGATCGCTTGTATTTCTGTTAATAATCATTATTTAGGCTCTAAATTTCGTCATGATCCTTTAATTAAGATGTTCTCTCGAGAACAATAATAAAAGTTTGCTAATTKTGCCTCTAAATAGCTTTTTTAGACTATCACGTGATCAGTGAAAGTCAAGAATTTATGTTCCTGTAACTATCACATATTAGGAATGAATATTAAATACTTTCGCCACATGGTGCCAAATATCTCAGTTGATGGAACTTATTATTCTCATAATCCAGTTTCGAATTCTCCAATGTTCTGTGTTAGCCTCATTTGTGCGTAAAATATTCCTTATTGTGAGCGTAGAAGTGTGAGATTTCAAATCCAATTTATTGTCTTTCTTCGCAAATTCCATGCGTTTTCTCGAGCTATCAGTGCAAACCAGAAGTCGAAATTGGAGTATTGAAGTTTTCAACAAATCGATGATGTAAGGTTTTTTCGGAGGTGGGGGAGGGGGGGGGGAGTTCAAAAGATATTATAAGAAAAAAAACAGAAGTACATAACCAGAAGTGGTTATGTACTTCTGGAAAAAAATAATTGTTAAGATCGTAATGATTTTCAATTTGTTAATGTTCATAATACCATGATCACCCCGGATTCTTTTGTCTTCCGAGCGATGTTTACAAGTAGTAAAGAATGCTTCTTTGCATTATACTTGCAAATATAAAAGCTACTTTTCGGGGTTGAAGTTAAGGTTCGTTAACTTCACCATTGAAATATAAGAACTGAAAAGTAATTGTTTAAAAAAAGTTTGTTGTAGGAAATCAGTAACAATGGTTGGATTACCAATCATTTTGTACTGTTGTTCTGTGAAAACAATTTCAATGACACAATAAATTAAAGTACTTGATACTCTTGGAACAGTGCGTATCCATTCTTTTCATGAATTGTTTGTTGCAATGTTTATATTACTCTGATTGAAAACATTGAAGCAGTGCAAAAAAAAAAAAAAAACAAACTAGATTTCAAATTCGCTCAAAATTAAGGTAAATTTATTCAAGTTTGACTTCATTTTTTTCCTCTGAAATCATGGTATTACAAAGTAATGGCATGGCTTCCTCGGGAGATTAGCGATTAAATGTCCCTCAGCCTCGGGCAGATAAGTAAAAGTCCCTCCGGCCTGCGGTCGTCGGGACTTCAACTTTTTGTCCTCGGCTTCGGGGACTTTTTAAAATCCCTTATCTCCCTCAGAGCCATGCTATTACTTATAATAAAGCGATGGAATCACTGAAGTAGAACAAGAAGTCAAGTAAACAACGGAATGATAGATTATATACTACACATTGGCAATTGACAAAACTGAATAGACGGTGACTTTTATCGGACTGTGAAATAGTTCCTACGCTAATAGACGCTAGTAGGACTCTACACCCATTGTTTCTTTTATTGGAATACAACTATTAAACACTGACTAGAAGTAATTGTTTCACAGACGGGTGAAAATTGCCTTTCACATTAACTTCTCACGGCCAGCAAAATGCAGCTGAATATGTTTTGGAAATCTTTTTGTAACATTGTTTTTGAATATTTACTTATCCTGTAGAGACGCCAATATCAGACAGTATATGAAATATGGCAGCCATGTAGCTCTGTAATTGTTGCAAAGTCTTACCATTTCATCTTGTGAGCGGAAGGAAAGCCATTGAGTCCCTTTGGAAATTAAACAAATAAATTGTAGTCGACGTTTGAAAAGCCTAGTAAAGATCAATTATGCCTTAGCTCAGATGAACAAAACGTTTGGAAACTATTGCAAAAAGGTAAAAGAGTTCTGTTAGATTATATTTCATCTGTTGCTGTCAGTACTCATAACATCAATCCATGCTTGCTCGTGTTCCAGTTTTCGTAACAGAATCAGCTCAGTACGTTTGTTTATTTGTTTTTGTTTTGTTTTTTAATTTTTATTCCCTAGCTAAGACGCCATACTTGTTAGTGCTAGATTTCACCTTTGAAGCAATTCAAATGAGGAGAAGATGAGAAGTGTCGTCGAAGAGTAGAAGCGTTGACCATGATTACATAAAAGGTAAGATAAATAAAAATACACGGTCGACAAAGGTTGTCTCTAAATGACGTCGTGCAGTGTATTTTCAAGCGAGAAAATAACAATAACTTCTTATCTGTCTTTCTGTAGATTAATGGCCACTAGTAGCACATCACCATCGAATTTATCAAGCCGTCAAAAGACCAATTACTTTAAAATATGCAGACTTCTAACCGACATTGGGACAAGAGTGTTGAGAGACGTTCTAGATTCATTATACCCGCCTGCTAGTCTACAGAAGCATCTCAATTCATCAGCTGTAAACTCTATACTGAAAAACCTCAGAAAGAAAAGAGTGGTTAACGCGCAACAATGGCAAAGATTATACCCACCATCAGGAGTACCATCRTCGACTACCTTCGACATAACACTGCTCTTCCTTCTCCTAAGGAACACCTGTGGTCTGACTCCACCTACTACAGGCTGGGATGCTGCCCCACCACCACGTGACGTTAGCAAAGAGGCTGATCTGATTCGTGTAAAACGATGTCGAAATGAAATCACTGGTCATAGCACAGCCGCAGAACTCTCTGACGCTGATTTTGAAACCAACTGGGCTGAAATTGAGGCATCATTGATAAGACTTGGCGGATTACAGTATGAACCAGAAATCCAGCGTCTGAAAATCGAGTCAATTGACCCTGAAAGTGAAGACTATTTCAATGTCCTTCTTCGTTCATGGGAAGAGGGCGAGGACAAGAGACTGGATGCTATTAGAGAAGAAATCAAACAAACAAAAGGTATTGTATACAAGTGCATATCGTTCGGAAAGTAATCGTGATTCCGAAGCAAAACGTCTGACTTGGAATTAAAAAAATAAAAAATAAAATTATACGCGTTGCATTTTATACCTCGTACCTGCAGGCGTAGCCTGGKYAYGAGTAATCAGAAGATYCTTTGAAACTGGTCAATCAGTATTCGATCAATCTTTTTTCTCAGCTGCTCTAGCTCTAACCATTGACTGAATTTTTTCCTGGAGTTAGCCACCCTTTTGTAACGTTCTGGATYCGGAAGTGTCCAAGTAGCTAGTCTCAATTTTATCTTGATTGCAGTCCATAACTCTAACTACAGCCTTGTCCTTACAGCGAAAACGTTAAAAAAATTATAATATCTCTCTATATTTACTCGCTATCTGGATCTATCTGGATCATGACATAATAAATCAAATGGTACCCTTATATATTTTTGAAGCACGCCTGAATCAGTGTCTATTAACTTAT